TGAGCGGTGTCGCCTTTCCACAGATCTGACCTGTAACTTGGTCTGGTTTGGTCTTGCTGAAGATAGAAAGGTTTAATGCCATACTGTGAAACATTCCCGACAAAGTAATAACAAGAGAAAAGCGTCTGACGGAAACTTTAACCATAAAAAACTGTTTAATTGATCATAAACTTTGTCTGTGTTTTTGTGATTTCAAGTTTCTCGGGGTCTTGTTCACGAACGAGGGGAGGACGGAGTATGAGATTGACAAATGTCTGCAGGAGGAAGATTTATCGATTAATTTACTTTCCTACTCTCACGTTTGGTCATGAGCTTTGGGCAGTGTCTGGGGAGAGGGAAGTCTGGAAGTCCCAGCTCAAACTCAGAGTGTCAATGCTTATAATGATGTCTTAAATAAATTACACTTATTTTACAGTTTTATTTATTTGTATATGTTCATTTCATTTTTTTTTTTTTTTTGTGAAAGCTTGGAAAACTCCAGTTGTGTCCAGATGTGAGTTAGGCTTTTATTGTGAAAATCTGCTTCATTTCCTCTTTCTGTGATGAGGTCGATCTGAAAAACCACACTGTTTTATCAGACACTTCAGACTGGATTTACAGGAGTCTGAGAGGAAGGGGACACTTTACTGCTGCGTTTAAAAGGACAAAAAATATTAAGAAAACATCAAACAACAGAACAGGAGACACTTTTGACTAGACAGACTAGACTTAGACTAGACTTAGAGACTAGACTTAGACTTTAGACTTAGACTAGACGACTTAGACTTAGACTTAGACTTAGACTTAGACTTAGACTTAGACTTAGACTTACTTAGACTTAGACTTAGACTTAGACTTACTTAGACTTAGACTTACTTAGACTTAGACTTAGACTTAGACACTTAGACTTAGACTTACTTAGACTTACTTAGACTTAGACTTACTTAGACTTAGACTTAGACTTAGACTTAGACTTAGACTTAGACTTAGACTTAGACTTAGACTTAGACTTAGACTTAGACTTAGACTTAGACTTACTTAGACTTACTTAGACTTAGACTTAGACTTAGACTTAGACTTAGACTTAGACTTAGACTTAGACTTAGACTTAGACTTAGACTTACTTAGACTTAGACTTAGACTTAGACTTAGACTTAGACTTAGACTTAGACTTAGACTTAGACTTAGACTTAGACTTAGACTTAGACTTAGACTTAGACTTAGACTTAGACTTAGACTTAGACTTAGACTTAGACTTAGACTTAGACTTAGACTTAGACTTAGACTTACTTAGACTTAGACTTAGACTTAGACTTAGACTTAGACTTAGACTTAGACTTAGACTTAGACTTAGACTTAGACTTAGACTTACTTAGACTTAGACTTAGACTTACTTAGACTTACTTAGACTTAGACTTAGACTTAGACTTAGACTTAGACTTAGACTTAGACTTAGACTTACTTAGACTTACTTAGACTTAGACTTACTTAGACTTAGACTTAGACTTAGACTTAGACTTACTTAGACTTAGACTTAGACTTACTTAGACTTACTTAGACTTACTTAGACTTAGACTTACTTAGACTTACTTAGACTTACTTAGACTTACTTAGACTTACTTAGACTTAGACTTAGACTTACTTAGACTTACTTAGACTTACTTAGACTTAGACTTACTTAGACTTACTTAGACTTACTTAGACTTAGACTTAGACTTACTTAGACTTACTTAGACTTACTTAGACTTATTTAGACTTAGAGTTAGACTTAAACTTAGACTTAGACTTACTTAGACAAACTTTATTGATCCACAAGGAAATTATTTGGACACAGTAGCTCACACATCAATAAATATAATAACAAAGAGCGAAAATATAAATGGTAAAATAAATTCTAACAACTTACTCAGGTCTAATAAAGCTTTTTTCCTGATAACCACTGTAAGCTTGATTGGACATGATGGTCAAGATGTTTATGTTATAATTTGGTGTTATGGTTTTCAACACAATTGTCCAATCAGAAACGCAGAGTGAGCCTCACGTGACTCTTTCATTTGGGTTTCTAGTTTCAGTGCTCAAATCCATTTGGCTTAAACCTAAAAGGACTCTCTCTGTTCTGAATCCTCACTACCTAAACCCCAGCACCTGCACACAATCATAAACTCATCACGCATCAAATATGAATTTTTAAAAAGTCATACGCAGAGAGAAAAGAATCTGATTAGTATTTTTATCCAACTACACAGAACAGCACATTTTCTGATCTATGTTATAATGTTTTTCCTCATCACAAACAGACCTGGAGTTGTGTTTTGTTTCATTCACACACGTTTAACACACAAACCCTGCGTATTTAAGATAAGTTCTCTTAAAAATAAAACACTTCCATACACCTTCCCTAGAATCATTTGGATCATTTCAGCTCTTAAACTTCGGACCTCCGTTGAACTAAAGGTAAAAGGTTGAGCAGAGCATTTTGAGTTTTGGAGACGTACACTGCAATAAAGTGTGGCCAAAATGTAAGATATCAACACTTAAATCTATCAGAAAATGACTTAAAAGTAGTGAAATGATCTGCCTTTGTTAACATTATTATTAGTTTGTACGACCATAAACGAAAAAAAACAAACAAATCAAAACCAGTGTCTTAAAAAAAAAAAAAAAATGAAGATAAGAACTATGAAAAGAAGTGATTGTGTTTCTGTTGGAGGGGTTGGTTTGTGGAGCAACCTGAGTGATGATTTTAAGGTCCAACACTGTAGAAGCCTTAAAAAAAATGAGTATAAAGCGTTATGTTTTGAAAGATATGGAGCTCTGGAATGGATGAATTATGCATTGGGTTTTGTTTGTTTTGATTTATATTTTATCTCTTGTATGTGCAGTGAGTCGTAAGTGAAATTATAAATGCAAACGTGTTGTTCATGCGCTGCTTTCTTTCTTGGAATTCTGTTTTTGTTTAAGGGTTTAGGTACCCTTTCTGTCATGATCCATTTAGTTGTGGTCTGTTTTGTTTTTGTTTTGTAGTGCTGCAAAATGACTCAACAACAAAAAAAAAAAGAAAAAGAAAAAAGTAGTGAAATCATCTGTCCATGCAGCAAGATAATTTTATTTGACAAGTTATCTTAAAATAAACAACCTCTAGACTAGAATGAAGCAGTCTCAGTAGAAGTAAGTAGATAATAAACCTGAAAACAAGATGAATAACTTGATTTAAGTCTTAAAATTTTGGCCAGATTAAAGGTAAAAGGTGGAACTGAGCATTTTGAGCTTTGGAAAGGTACAGTGCAATAAAACTTGTCCAAAATGAAGATGTAAACACTTAAATCTATCAGAAAATTACTTAAAAGTCGTGAAATTATCTGTCCATGCAGCAAGATAAATAAATTACAAAACTATTTCTAGATTAGAATGAAGCACTCTCAGAACCAGTAAGAAGATAATAAACCTGAAAACAAGATGAATAACCTGATATACACTTTAAAATCTTAGTCAGATCAGAGAAATTTTAGACTAATTATAAAGATTATTCAAAGACGTGAGAATAAAACAAAACAGAATAATATAGAATAACACTCCAGGTTTGTTTTTCATGAGGTAACGACATTATAACATGATTTAAAGCTTACGAGCGTCAGTTTTGCGTCATATAAGACCTTTAACTAAATGTACTTCCCCTGCCCCCATCCATAGACCGTGTGCCCACATCTCTCTGTCAGAAACTCATTTAGGCATAACAAGATCTGATGTTCGGTCTAGACGAGGAATTAGTCCAGGTTTAGGTTCAGTTGAGTTTAGTCTTGAGCTAGTTAAACCCTGGCTCAATTTAGCGGGTAAATGTGAAGGCGGTGATGTATGACTTTTGAAAAAACAAGATGGAGTCACATTCTCGTTCCCTCAGGTCATCGTAGGAATCAGGACGGTGAAGAAGAGACCATCTGGACTCGGTTTGGGTCTGGTCCTGGTCCAGGGTTGGGTTCAGGGTTTGGGTTTGGTCCTGGTTTTGATCAGGTAAATTACAGAGGGCCTTAAACACATCAGGATAATTACAGACTTCCACAAATACAGTGAACGCACCACACTCTATTCTGAGATCTGGACCAGGGGCTTCTGCAGGGACCAGAGCGCGGATGGACTAGACCTGGTTTGGTTCTGGTGCTTTTTTCCTCTGGACTGTGCAGCTAGAGTTTGTAGCAACAGCTGCTGAAAGGTATTTTTGAAGTTAATTTAATGTAAACATTTATTTTCAGAATGACAGATACCACTTTTCTTTCATTTTCTTTCTTTTTTAAACATGTCAAATGAATGTTTCTGATTATTCATAGCTCATACATTCTTAGATCCAGTGAGTGCTTGTCTTTTTCCATCAGATAAATCGGAGTACACTTACTTTGACAGGATTTGCAATTAAAAAAAAACAATGGAATTAGTCACGTCCTGAGTGTGAAACAGACAGGTGAGTCACAGAGACACAGGTAGCCTTCAATCTGACTAAAACAGCACGCAACAATGAATACTACTCCAAAAAAACCAAAACACAGGACTAAACCAGGTCTAAACTTCTAATAAACCAGACCACAGACTTAAACCTGCACTAAATCAGGGTTAAACTATGACTAAAGTAATCAGGGGAAGGATCAGGTCTGAGCTTGGTCGGAACCAAACCCGGTTCTAGACCATCCATCAGTCTGGTCCGATCCACATCTGGCTGTGGAGCAGAAAAACAGCAGATTAGGACCGGACTCCTCCATTAGACCGCTCTCACAGGGACTCGGTGAATAATTCCACGTTAGGAGCGATATTTGTTTATATTTGTGTCTAAATCAAGGGTTTCAAACTAACTTTACTACACTGGCATCACGTGCGTAATCGTATATCGCTGCAAAACCGTGCACAAAGACAGGGATTGTGTTACTATACAGTTTTTTGGAGACCCCTCCCCCCGTTTTGGCCCTGCAGTGGTTTGCTCCACGCTGGGGGGCTGTGCGTCGCGGAGCAGGGGCAAAGCGAGCCGAAGCAGCCTGTGCGTGAGTGGGCCACCGCGCCGCTCTCTAAACCGCTTCTTTTCCACTGGATTTACCTCCACTTTCCGCCCCTAAACCTGGACCTAACCCGCCTGCTCCCGGCTTTGTCCGACACGGATCCAAACTCCCGGGATTTACGCTCAAAAGAAACAGAAAACGACCCCAGGACAGAGAAAGCGCCGTGGATTTAAAGCACTGGTTCTTCACTTCTCGCTCCAGGTGGGTTGTGGTTCGGAGGTGGTTCGGGTGATTTGGTGGATTTGGGTGCGTTTAACGGGGCTATGGCGCGTGCTCGGTGTGCGCGAGGACCTGCTGGATGTGGGGGTGTCGGTGCGTGAGGTGGGGTGCCTGTGTGGATGTGAAATGGGGGAGAAAAACGCCGCCCCTGCCGTAAACCTAACCCACCGCTCCTTTTACCGCATCTGCCCGTTTAATAAGAGCGCGTTTGGACCCCGGGTTGGACGCTCCGGTGTTGTTTTGGGTGGGTTTTCCTGCGCGTGCACGCGAGAGTGGTGTTTGTGCGTGTGATGGTTGATACCCCAGGTGGAGCTACGTGCACGCGCGTAGTTCACATCAGCCTGAATGTATGGGTTTGCTGTGGAGGTCCATTTTGAGGGAAACGTAAAAAGGGGCACACACGACAACACGATTCCCACCGCGTGCGGTTTCGCTTTTACGCGGAACCGCAGGCGATACGCCGCGTTTATCCGTCTGTGCACGCGTGTGAGAGCCTGTGCGTGAGGGGAGAGTGCTAATGGGGGAGGAAGGAGGGGGTAGTACATCCATTAAAGAAGAACAAAGGGGGAGGCTGCAGGGAGAGGCGTCAAAACCAGGCGAAAACAGGCGGAAAAAGGCGATAAACGGGGTAAATGAGCGAATGTCAGCCAGGCCTTTGGACCGGGCCAGAACCGGGATCCACCGCGAGGTGAACGGAGCTGATTCAGAGGGAGGACTGGGGCACATGCAACAGTGTCGAGCCCAAAGCAGCTCTATCCTGGGCTAAAACATCTTAACCCGTGCTAACTTAGGCAAAGAGCCTGGACCATGGTTCAGTCCATGATCCATGCGGGCTGAGGTGTGAACCAGGTCTAGCCTGGCCAATGTGGGCTGGATGTGTTTGGATCAGAACGAAGCCAGGTACAAACGCGTTAGATGTTTTTAATTCCAGTCAGGTCTGTTCCAGTCAGGTCTGCTCCAGGTAGTCCGTTCTACAAGGTCTAAACCAGGTCTGACCAGGGTCTAACTGGACCAAAGCAGTCCCAGGTCTGAGCGTGTTGTGAGGGAAGTGTGAGCTGGAGCAGCCTGTCGGTTATGTGAGATTGATGGACAGATGTATTGATTCTTCTCAGAGATGTTGGTGATATCTCAGATCACTCATCAATCACTCTAATGGTTAATCATGACACTGGCTCTGGTTTAGAGCACAACACGACCTGGATCCTGTGGTGTTATCCGTAACAAAACGCCCATGAAAAATAAAGAAAGTTATAAATTTCACTCGCTGATTCCAGTAATGAATTTATTCAGAAACCTGCCAGTCTCTAAAGCACGGGTCCAAACCTCTCTCAAAAATCAGATACTTGATCCTGATGGATGTATTTGTAGTGTATCGAACTGAAGCGGCTCATGTGTCTGCGATCATGAATCATTCACAAAATGATAAATCAAACCCTACATCTGGGAGCGGCCACAGTTTAGGTTTCAACATTTAAATTCACCTAAATCTGTGTTCGCTTTGGGACCGAGTTAAATGTGACCAGAGCTTGATAAGTTATAACTAATTCAGAGAGATTTTTTTTTTTTTTAAATGTCAGAGAATTAGGCAATCTTGTCAGCATTTTCTAAACTTAGCATCCTGAAAGTGAAATTAGTTTAGTATCTATTCCTCTTACTTACATTGCAGGAGACTTTTTACTTTGAGCATAGGCCTGTCATGGAAACACATTTTTTTACGATATAATACTGAAGAAATATAGATATAAACGATAATTTTGCAACTAATTTATGGCACTGAGCAGATTTAAACCACAAAATTAAAATGTGCAATATTATGAAAAAACAAACCAACATGAGAAACACTTTAGTTCTTAGTTTGCACATGTATTGACTCATAGACCTTTTACGTCTTAAAGCTGCACTGCGTAACATTTCTAGTTGGAGAAATGCTTCCTTGTCTCCATGGAAATATCACTGCTTTGTCTACACTACGCTACATTACAGTTCAGATCTGTGGAGAGTCGGTTCTATTCACAGAAGGAACTATTATTGTATTTTTGAGCAACAAAAACACCCGTAATCTAGGAATGCTAGATGGATTTAAAGTCATACTATGGAACATTCCAGGCAAAACAATCCCATCTCCATGGAGACAAGCAGGTAATGGACCCTCCCCCAGAAAAGTTATGCAGTGCACCTTTAAAAATTTTGTAGTATAGTCAAAAAATAACCAAAAACTCCCAGTTGTGCAAAGGAAAGTTTGGTCTTGGTTTGGTCTTGGTTTGGTCTTTAGTTTGTTCCTGGTTTGGTCCTGGTTTGGTCCTGGTTTGGTCCTGGTTTGGTTCTGGTTTGGTTCTGGTCTAACTCTCGTCTAACCCTGGTTTAGTCCTGATCTAGCCCTGGTTTTCGTCCTGATCTAGTCCTGGTGTAGTCCTGGTGTAGTCCTGGTGTAGTCCTGGTGTAGTCCTAGTTTAGTCCTAGTTTGGTACTGGTTTGGTCCTGGTCTAGTACTGACCTAGCACTGGCCTAGCCCTGGTCTAACCCTGGTCTAACCCTACTCTAGACCTGGTCTAGTCCTGATAAAACTGAACCCCAAAAAATATTGTTCCAGGTTTCATTTCTCAAACGAAAAGTCGATATAATATTTATCGTGACCCAAATCGAGATCTAAATTCACAATAAAATGAGCTGCTGAAAACTGTTAGAATAATAAGATTTGCCCGTCTCTGCTTTCTCTGCCTCAGTCCGACTCTTCTGAAGCTTTTAATTCTGTTTTTGTTGAATGTGCTGCTCACAGTCTGAGGTCGGACTCTGTTAAAGGAGCCATATGTCACACACTAATGGGATTTCCTCCTGCAGGCCTGCGCTGGTACTAGGGTAGTCCTGCTCTAGTACTGGGTTAGTCCTGCTCGAGTGCTGTGTTAGTCCGGTTCTGGTTCATTATGTAGTCCTGGTTTAGTACTGGATTAGTCCTGGTGTAGTACTGGGTAAGTACTGGTTTGGTTTATTATGTAGTCCTGGTGTAGTACTGGGTTAGTCCTATTCTACGCCATCTTGTAGTCCTGGTCTTGTCCTGGTTTAGTCCTGGTCTAGTCCTGGTTTAGTCCTGGTCTAGTCCTGGTTTAGGCCTGGCCTAATACTGGGTTAGTCCTGGTCTGTTGTATTTCTTAGTCCTGGTTTAGTCCTGGGTTAATCTTGGTGTAGTACTGGGTATGTCTGGTTTATTTTACTATGTAGTCCTGGTGTAGTACTGGGTTAGTCCTGGTTTTGTCCTGATCTGGTTCATTATGTAGTCCTGGTTTAGTACTGAGTTAGTCCTGGTCTGGTTTATTATGTAGTACTGGTTTAGTCCTGGTTTAGTCTTGATTTGGGTTATTTAGTCCTGATTTAGTACTCTGTGTTGGCTGTTCTGTAGTCCTGGTTTAGTACTGGGTTAGTCCTGGTCTGGTTTATTGTGTAGTCCTGGTTTAGTACTGGGTTTGTCCTGGTCTGGTTTATTGTGTAGTCCTGGTTTAGTACTGGGTTAGTCCTGGTGTGCGTTATTTAGTCCCGGTTTAGTCTCGATCTGGATTATGTAGTCCTGATTAATACTGGGTTATTCTTGGTCTGGATTATTTAGTCCTAGTTTAGTACTGGGTTAGTCCTGGTCTGGTTTTAAATGTAGTCCTGGTTTAGTCTTTGTTTAGTCCAGATTTCACCACTCTCCAACCATAAATTGGAGAATGAAATATGTAATAAATTTGTCCAAATGTAAACCAGGACTAAACCAGGTCTAACCCAAGAATAAACCAGGTCTAATCCAGGTTTAAATCATGTCTAAACTGGGACTAAACTAGGTCTAAACCAGGTCCAGACCAGGCTAAGACCAAGGTCCACACCCAGGGGTTCTAATGTAATTGAGTGGTTGGTTATGGGAGAGGGTCCTGCATTAATATTTATGTTGTGTCATTCTCCATTTGTGAAACCGTACGTCACACTGACTAATGGATCCTTTAATACCAGCTTTAGTCCACTTTTAGGCCTGGCACACAACTGGTCTAGTCTGGTAGACTGGTTTAGTCCTGGTTTAAGACCATTTTTAAGGTCTGGTTTAGGTCTGGTCCTGGTTTAGCCTGGGTTTAGCCCTGTTTGCTCTTGTTTGGCCCAGGTTTGGTCCTTGTTTAGCCCTGATCTAGCCCTGATCTAGCCCTGATCTAGCCCTGGTCTAGTCTTGGTCTAGTCTTGGTCTAATCTTGGTCTTGTCTTGCTCTAGTCTTGCTCTAGTCCTGATTTAGCCCTGGCCTAGCTCTGGTCTAGCCCTGGTCTAATCTTGGTCTAATCTTGGTCTAATCTTGGTCTAATCTTGGTCTAATCTTGGTCTAATCTTGGTCTAGTCTCGGTCTAACCTTGGTCTAGTCCTGCTCTAGTCCTGCTCTGGTCCTGCTCTGGTCCTGCTCTGGTCCTGCTCTAGTCCTGCTCTAGTCCTGGTCTGGTCCTGCTGTAGTCCTGGTCCAGTCCTGGTCCAGTCCAGTGCGGCGTGTACAGTCCTGTGAATCCGTCAGAGGTTATTATGGGATATCGAGCAGCTCTGACCTTGACCCAGGTGTGTCTCTTCTGCTCGCGCTCACAAGTATCGATCATCTTTTATCTCCGCTCATTTTCATAATTCATTTATTGTATTTTTGTTTAAAGATTTGTTTCGGGCCAAATGTAAAATGAACCAGACACTTTGACATTTTTACACAATGGACTTTCCAACGCTGCACTCATTCAAACAAATCCAGGAAGCTGTAAGAGATTAGACCAGAGAACTGGGCCAGGACTACAGGACAAATGATAGAGCAGGATAGGGTTAGTCCTGGTCTAGTCCTGGTCTAGTCCTGGTCTAGTCCTGGTCTAGTCTTGGTCTAGTCCTGGTCTAGTCTCGGTCTAGTCCTGGTCTAGTCTAGTCTTGGTCTAGTCTAGTCTGTCTAGTCTAGTCCTGGTCTAGTCTAGTCTGGTCTAGTCTTGGTCTAGTCCTGGTC